TGATAATTAATGTAAGTTCAAAATTATCTTTGGGGACTTATTGAACTAAGGAAAGTAGTTAAAAAGTAGTCAAATCTACTAAGAATTTTTTTCAGTGTAATGATATCTCGCTAACCGATTAAGATTTTTGAATTCTTTTGGTCTTAAATTAAAGATGAGACTTAAATGATCACACCTATATAAGTTTCAAATTTTTTCTGCAATTTTAAAAAAATGTGCAGGGGTTGAAAAAATTTCCAAAAAAATTTTATTTTTTAAATTTTTTTGTCAAATTTGTCAATTGCTGCAATCTTTGTATAAATTATTAAAATTTTCAGTTATGTACCATTAATTGTAGAATTTAATAATCTTTCAAATGGTATATTTGTTAATTTTCTGACATTTGTATTTACAAAATAATCGTGATTTAAAGATTGGTATGTTTTTGGGCCGTGCGCGTGCAGCCGTACCGATAATTCCCGACGGTAGTGTATAGACATACGGTAAAAGTGGAAATAAACTATTTAGAAGGTGTTTGATAGCAAAAGGAAGTGTTAAATATGTAAAATTGATGTTTAGAGAATATAGATTTTAGCAAATGTTGCAATAAATAAATCTCTAAATAATTAATAATTACTTGAAATTCCTGACAGATTCGATAAACATAAATGTACATAGGTGGTTAGACTTTAAATACTGGGAAAAAGTTCATAAAAAAAACTAAAAATGTTAGAAAAAGCTCTTATAATTAATAAATTAACTATTCTACAGTCGATTTATCCATTATTTAAGTTGAATTAAATCGTAAATTGTTCAATTATTAATGATAAATATGCGAACTGTGAGACCTGTCAATGTATTGGTAACATGCGTGATACTTGTAGCAGACTACGATTCACTATACGATCATATTCTGAACGGCGGAACGAAAGGAACTGATTTGGATAAACGCGCGAAGTTTCAAAATGATGTGTAAATATAGTAAACATTGAAAAAAATTGCTTTCTTTGATTTAAGAGATATTACTAATAAAACATATCTTTTACCTTTAGAAAACGTTTTTTGTACAACAATGTGATCAAAAATTAGAAATTTCGCAAAACTTTTTCGATTATTAAAATAAATGAATTTATTTAAATAAATATTATTCAAAGCTAAAAATAAGTATTTTACTTAGAAAATTAATTTGAATAAAAATTTTTTAAACAAATTCATGTAAAAAATAAATATCATGAACAATTAATTTTGATTGAAAATTAATTATTATTATATTTAGTAGAATATAAAAAATAAAAAAGCAGAAAACAAATAGAATTAATGCTACAATCAATTATACTAAGAATGATAAAATAGACAATATTTTCCGTTTTTCTAAAATAATTAGAAAATTTACTTTTCAAACCAATTAAAATAAGATTCTAACTCCTTCTACTTTAAGAAAGCAATTTTTTTATTCGTTGGTTCAACAGTACAAAAAGGGAAAAAATATTTAATTTTTAAAAAGTTACATTTAGTCTTAACTCATTAAGAAAAAAAAGACTCCTGCACGGAGAGAAATCTGTTGCGAATAATGCATAGAGTAGAGGTTATGAATATAGCATAAGCACTTACTAGCGAAAAGTATAAGAGGTCCGCCTAATATTCAGGCGGACTCGAGCAATAAATAGGCTCTCTGTTAGGATTTTAGCATTAAAGAATCTATGGAAAAAGTATATGAAAAGTTTCGAGCATTAATCCTAACAGATTTCTCTCCGTGTGGCCAATAAAAACAAGCTCCTCCTATTTTCAAAGTGCAATTTTTTATTTGTTGGTTGAGTTACCAAAGTAATTAATATTTGAAAAATAACCTTATATATTACCAACCCCAAAAGAAAAAAGGGATGATTTAGACCAATAAAAATAATAAACAAACTCCTCCCACTTTCAAAATCAATTTGTTTATTTGTTTTGAGTTAAACAAAATGGAGAAAAAATTAATATTTAAAAATAAATCATATAATTCCAACCCCCGCCCCCCCATAAAAAAGTGCATGATTTAGACCAATTAAAATAAAATTTAAACTCCTCCTTCAAAAAGAAAAATATTTTTTATTTGTGACTTCAATAGAACAAAATGAAGAAAATATTAATATTTAAAAAATTCGTTCTTTTGAACCTACGAAAAAAAAATAGTTTGTATTAAAAGGGAGGAGTTTAAATTTTAATTTAATTGGTCTTAAACATCCATTTTATCTTTTGGGGGTTAAGACTAAATTTTATATTTTTTAAAGTTTAATGTTTTCTCCATTTTGTTCTAATGAACCAACAAATAGAAAAAAGGTTTCTTTAAGAAGGAGGAGTTTAAATTTTATTTTACTTGGTCTAGAACATCCATTTTTTCTTTTGGGGGTTGGAATTATATGTTTTATTTCTTAAATAACAAATTTTTCTTCATTTTGTTTAACTGAACCAATGAATAAAAATATAGGAGGAGTTTAATTTTTTTATTGGCTAATAGCAGTTTTTTTTGTCAGGGGTTGAGACTTATATTTTTTAAAGTTTAATATTTTTTCCATTTCGTTTTTTTGAACCCACGAATGAAAAATAGTTTTTATTAAAAGGGAGGAGTTTAAATTTTAATTCAATTTGTCTCTAACATCCATTTTATCTTCTGGGGGTTAGGACAAAATTTTATATTTTTTAAATATTAATATTTTCTCTATTTTGTTCTATTGAAGCCACAAATAAAGAATTTTTTTCTTTATAAGAAGGAGGAGTTAAAATTTTATTTTAATTGGTCTAAATCATCCACTTTTTTTAGGGGGTTGGAATTATATGTTTTATTTTTTAAATATTAATTTTTTCTCCATTTTGTTTAACTCAAAAGAAATAGAAAAATTGATTTTGAAAATGGGAGGAGTTTGTTTATTATTTTTATTGGTCTAAAGCATCCATTTTTTCTTTGGGGGTTAATAATATATGTTATTTTTCAAATATTAATTACTTTCTCTATTTTCTTTAACTCAACCAGCAAATAAAAAATTGTACTTTGAAAATAGGAGGTGCTTATTTTTATTGGCCAGAAGCCTTTTTTTTAATGAGTTAAGACTAAATGTAACTTTTTAAAAATTAAATATTCACTCCCTTTTTGTACTGTTGAACCAACGAATAAAAAAATTGCTTTCTTAAAGTAGGAGGAGTTATTTTTTATATTCTACTAAAGATAATAATAATAATAATTAATTTTCAATCAAAATTAATTGTTAATGTTATTTATTTTTTACATGAAATTGTTTAAAAAATTGTTATTCAAATTTATTTTTCTAAGTAAAAGACTGATTTTTAGCTTTGAATAATATTTATTTAAAAAAATTTATTTATTTTAATAATTGAAAAAGTTTTGCTAAATTTGTAATTTTTGATCACATTGTTGTAAAAAAACTTTTTTTAAATGTAAAAGATATGATTTATTAGTAATATCTCTTAAATCAAAGAAAGCAATATTTTTCAATGTTTACTATATTACACATCATTTTGAAACTTCTCACGTTTATCCAAATCAGTTCCTTTCGTTCCGCCGTTCAGAATATGATCGTAGTGAATCATAGTCCGCTACAAGTATCACGCATGTTACCAATACATTGACAGGTCTCACAGTTCGCATATTTATCATTAATAATTGAACAATTTACGATTTAACTCAACTTAAATAATGGATAAATCGACTGTAGAATAGTTAATTTATTAATTATAAGAGCTTTTTCTAACATTTTTAGTTTTTTTGATGAACTTTTTTCCACTATTTAAAGTCTAACCACCTACGTACATTTATGTTTATCGATTCTGTCAGGAATTTCAAGTAATTATTAATTATTTAGAGATTTATTTATTGCAATTTTTGATTAAATCGAATCTCTAAATATCCATTTTACATTATCAATACTTCCTTTTGCTATCAAACACCTTCTAAATAGTTTATTTCCACTTTTACCGTATGTCTACCATTTGTCTACCATTTGTCCACTTTAAAAGTGGACATATAGTCAATCCAAATCTGGCCGGATAGTTTTAATATTTATAAATATTTAAATTTTTTAAAATATTTTTCTTGTAACTTTAAAATAGAAAGATGTGAATATTAATTTTGAGGTTAGTTTTAATTTTCTTATTTAAAAATCAAAGTAAATAATTGTTATTTATTTTAATAATTTTTCTCTTTTAATATTTTGAATTTTAAAAAGAATGTTTGGAAATCATTTAATTCTTGTAAAGAATTTATCAACATTTTTCAAAGCAATTAAATGCTTTCAATAAAATATATAAATATTATAAAGTAATTGAATTAAAATAAAAAAATAATTTCCTTAGCATTATATTGTGAAAATAATTGAATTCTTCCAAACATCTTTATTAGTTATAAAAATATTTTACTTCTTCGGAAGAAGAATAAATAAATACCAATAAAATAAAATAAACAATAATGATTATTTATGTACTTAATAGGTTAATTTCTTAAATACTAAATCTGAAATTATTCAATAATAAAATTTCAATTTTAAAATTAAGAATGTTGTAATTTTCATAATTAATTAATAATTTTTTGTTTTAGCTGCCCGTACCCAGATAACAAAATGCCTGCATATAGGCTGGCTATGTTGTGGACCGTGGGCCGATTGATCGGACCATTGTGCCAGCTAGAAAGCAGCTCAATGTGCGTGCTATTGCTGGCTATAATGCCGGACCGTGTGTCCGATACACACGTGCCGGCAAAATGCAGGATAAAAATGCCGAATATTATTGTGGGGTATTAAAATAACTAGAATTTAAAGTTTATAATTAGTGAAATAAGAAGAATAATATTTACAAAGTATAAAAAGATAATTTATTAGTAATGGTTTCTATATATTACTAAAATAAAATACAAAAGAAGCGAAGCAACATTATAAACGAAAATGAATAATTTTCTTGATATTTTATATAACAAACAAATATTTAAATCACGAATTTGACAACATTAATATTAAAAAAGTTCCAATGATTAATCAAAAATTCTCGTCTTCTTCATAATCGAATGAATCCATTTCTTCATCTTCATCTTCCACATCTGCTTCTGAACCATCATTGCTTGCTTCTGGTTCTAATAAAGCACTTATATTCTCTATTGCTTTTTCTACTCTTTTCTCAAGGTCGTGGTTAGGAATTTTTTTTAATTTGTTACGACACCTTTGTTTTGCACTTTTCAGTACTCCTAACATAGCTTCTTTATATGCTGCCTTACTATCCGGTCCAGTAAATAAGGGGCAGTTCACAGCAGCTTCTGTAAAATATTCATTAAATAAAAAATGAGAATTCCGCTAAGATAAAAGGAAGTTTTAAAACTTTGCACATTGATGTTTTTTCACTGACATCTTAATTAAAACTTTATCCAGAATATTAACAAATCTTGTGTAGTATTACAATATAAAGAACTAATTTCAATGAGAAAAAATTTCAGCCAAATAAAAAGAAAATATTGTGTTGAATAAAAAATATAAAAACTTACGAAAAAAAAATATTAGAAATCCTTGTGTCCCCAAACTTTTCAGTGTCTTTCTGCTTCTGCCACGTGAAATTTAAGACCAATTCATCGGTCATTACTTGACGGAGTGCACAACTCAAGAATTCTTTTAAACTTGTACCACCTAATTGTATTAAATGGTCATGCTAAAAATTGTATAAGACAAATCAGCAAATGAAACTTTTAATTTTCGATAAATGGAAGTTTCTGTATTTATTGACTTACCACTTTTTGTCGTTCGGGTTTACTTGTTATTTCCTCTAAATTAGAGAACTGCTCTACAGTGCTAAGAGGAAAACCGTCTAAGTGCTGATATAATTTATTAGCCAGCTGTTCAGTACTAAAGCGTGACCTCAATAGTTGAAGGATTTCTTTATTTTGATTAAAAATCTCATCGCTCTTTTGACGAATTTCATCTACACTCGATTGCAGGACCCTTTTAAAAAATATTTTAATACAAAACAGTTAAAAATCAATAAAAATGTAAGGAAATTAAATGTTTACAAAATTTTATGTTTTAAAACAAGTTATAAAATTTATACTAACTGCAAATGTCTGGAAATTTCACCAAAACCTTCAAATGTTCCTGACGGAATGCTTAAAATAGGCAAATCCACGAAAGTTTCAGTTCTATTGCTGGTTTCAGAGAAGTTGGAAGCAAACATTAAAGGTTTCCTCAAATTATTATTAAACGATTCTTCAGACCCTTCCGAATTTGTTGTTCCATTCGGTGGAAACTGTGGTGCCTTAGAAGAACCAGCTCTAAGTTTTGAATCAAAAATTTCAGAATTCTTTACTTGCGACCTTATAATATTAAATTTATTGATAGCCTTAGGAAAAGAAAGTTCCAAAAACTATTTTATTTGTAGTTTATTTCAAAATAAAATATCAGTTCTTTCGGATTTAAAATAATTTAAAAAGATTTAAAGATTAACTTACATATTATGGGAATTTTTCTTATTCAATTTGTCAGGTATTTTACCAGAGTTGGAATTAACAGAATTGGGTATTATTAATTCAGCATTAGCAGAAGAATTCTCACCGGAAGTCCTAAAAAATATCGAATTGTAATTAGTTTAAATTAACTATTTACGAAAATGAAAAAAGTAAATTCACTCACAAATTATCAGTCTTTGTCTCATTTAATTTTGATATTTCATTTCCTGAGTAGCCAACCATTTGTGAATTATCTGAACTTGTAGCTGTTAAGTCATCAACAATACCAAAATCTTTTCCTTGAGACCTTACAAATAAATAATATTGAGTTATATAATTATAGTTCACTTTATAAGAGTTTATAGTAAATTATAACGTAAAATGCAAAAATGAAATAAGATAAGTCCACTTACAAATTATCAATTTCTTTTTGGTTTGACTGATTTGATTTTCCTTTAGAGACATGAAGCAATGATGAATTGTTGGAACCAGTTGTAATTACAGGATTAACAAGAGCAGGAGAATTTTTTTCACCAGATCTGGAAAAAGAATCAACATATATTTTGAAATCTACAGTTTAATGTATCTAAAACAATTCTGAGTATACATTTTGGGGTATACATATAAATATTCTTCTTTTTGGTTGATAAAAATTTTTCAATAATAAAGCAGAAAGTATAAAAAAGAAATAAAAGGTAAATTGAGGAAACTCAGAATAATATTTTGAAAAGATCAATTATTTTTTCACGGTTTAACAGCTAAGGAAAGCAAAAAAAACATTTCTTTGAATCTGCAGATCAATAATTATATAAAACATTTTGTATTATATACCTAACACTACAAGTAATATTGAGTTATATAATTATACATCACTTTCAGCGTGGTTACAAGATTGAGTTTATAAAGGGCTTATCGGGTTAAGTGTGCAAAAACTGCCCCTGCATCTATTTTTCTCAAATTTGGCCCATATATTACTATCCATATGACTATAACTTTCTGTAATTTTGAACTTGAAATTCGCTTTTTTGGGGGAGTTATGGAGGGGGAACGAAAAAACAAAAAACTTATATTTCTCGAAAACTACTGAATCGATTTTAATGAAATTTAAATATGTTTTAAATGTGGACAAGATAATTCTAGAAAAAAAAATCAAAATTTTTCTTTCAAAAAAAATTTTTTGAGGGTTAGTTTTGAAGTTATCACTGTAATTTTTATAGAAAATAGTACCGTATAATGTCCCCTTTGACACATATGTACCCTACCCGGTACATTTTTATGTTTTATGTAAATGGTTAATTAATTATTCATTTATTTAATTACAAATTAATACTCAGTGATTTGCTGAATACAAGTCTGAAATCGATGTAAAAAAAAATTATTTCCAAAAAGAAAACCAAAAATTTTTATTTTTGCATTTAAAATTTTTTTCTTTTTGGATCATTGAAGCGGTGCATCAAACTTTTTTTATTTAACTTGTTTAACAGTCTTACTTTTTAAAAAATAATGGCCTAGATGATTTTAGAGTGCGACACGGTATGATAACTAAAAAAATCCTAAAATTTGATTTTAAAATTTTTTTATTTGTCTGAAAAATATTGTTTTATATCAACTTCAGATTTGTATTTAGCAACCTCAATAACCCCACTATTAATAAGTTGCAAAAAACTTTGAAGGATTTTTTAAAATTAACCATTTACATACCACATAAAAATGTACCGGGTAGGGTTTTTGAGTTATTTATCGTGACACACTTTGAAATCATGTCGGGAAAAATTTTTTATTAAGTAGATCACATAAGAGAATGAAATGAGAAAATACATAACAAATATCACATATTTAAATTTCATTAAAATCGATTTAGTAGTTTTCGAGAAAAATAAGTTTTTTGTTTTTTTGTTCCCCCTTCATAACTGCCCCAAAAAAGCGAATTTCGAGTTCCAAATTGCAGAAAGTTATAGTCATATGGATAGTAATATATGGGCCAAATTTGAGAAAAATAGATGCAGGGGCAGTTTTTGCACAATTAACCCCCTAAGCTCTATCCCTAACAATTTACTGACATTAAAATTATTTTCTCTGACAAAATTCTGACTAATGAAACTTAATAATTTCTAAAAATTACAAATATTACCCTTCCTGGATTCAATTATTTCGAATTTAAATTTAATTTAATCTAAATTTCATCTCCAAATAAATTATTTTAAATAATTTTAATTTCATAATTCAATTAATTTTTAAAGTTTCCAATTAAAATTCTTGAAAAGTTGATTTTTAAAAATTCTACCAAAATACTTTAAGTTATTAAGATGATGAAAAAAATCGATCACTTCGAGTCAGGATCGAGTCAGAATTTTTTTCATCATCTTAATAATTTGTAGACCGAGTGATAGAATCATTACTATATATAAAATACTTTAAAAAAAATAATTCTTTTCAATTAAATTTTACAAAATCGTTTCAATTGTATATTTCGAAAAATTTAAGTAGAAATATGATTCAAAAATAATGTTTGAGATATTTCTTTAGTTATTTTTCGCACTATAAAAATCGAAATGAGTTGTAACTCATTTAGTACTAAAAATATGATATTTTGTTGCAATATTTGGAGGAAAGATCAAGAAAGTCACAATTTTTAATAGTAAGTCGAAAAAATCTCAATTTTCTAAATTTCCCAGCAAAAAATTTTGTTGTATTAACATTTTTCGGATTTTACTGACATGTGGTTACTCTGACTTTTTAAGGGTTTATAGCAAATAGTGTAGCATAAAAATAAAATAAGTTCAGTCCACTTACGAATGATCAATTTTTTTTTGTTTCGACTGGTTTGATTTTCCTTTAGAAACATGAAGCAATGATGAATTGTTGGAACCAGTTGTAATTCCAGGATTAACAAGAGCAGGAGAATTTTTTTCACCGGATCTGGAAAAAGAATCAACATATATTTTGAAATCTACAGTTTAATGTATCTAAAATAATTCTGGGTATACATTATGGGGTATACATATAAATATTCTTCTTTTTGGTTGATAAAAATTTTTCAATAATAAAGCAGAAAGCATAAAAAAGAAATAAAAGGTAAATTGAGGAAACTCAGAATAATATTTTGAAAAGATCAATTATTTTTTCACGGTTTAACAGCTAAGGAAAACAAAGCATAACCCAAAGAAGAGAAATAGATAAGTTAGGAAGGAATTTTTAATATTAACTTATTTTGCTTTGTGAGATATAATAAAATGAATGTCAAAATAACTTACATATTTGTAGTATCTCTTAACTGAAATTGTACTGCAAGATTCTTTAAAACCTTCATTTTTTCATCTAATGAAGATGATTTCTTAGACTTTTTTATGGTTAATTTATCCTCGGAAGTGCTCAAAATATTTTTTGGAGTTGTTATGTTTCTTCCTTTACTTGATACTCTCGATTGATTTTTTGAAAACATTTTACGCTTCTTCGCTTCCTTGGCATTTTCCATGATCTGTACAATTATAAAAACTTAAATAAAATGGATTATTTTTTAATAAAATCGTAATTGCAGAACAAAAATTCCAACACTTTAATGTTAAATGCTAGCGAAAATATAAATATTAAAACTAAAAATAGAAAACCATGTACAGGGCTCGAACCAGTGAAAGTATTTAAAAATACGGACTTTACGGACCAAAAATGACAAAATTACGGACCATTTACGGAACAATTACTGACAAAAATATATAAGAGAACATTTAACTTAAAACTATAAATTAGATTTTTTCATAATTAAAAAACATGAAGATATCGAAAACTCCGAGTCTTCAACTCGGAGCGATCGATTACTTCATGTTTTATAATACTTAAACAGCATGTGCCTGTTACAGAAATCAATGTTAATTTTTTCGACCACTTTTCTCTTAAAATATTAAATAAATTAAGCTAGTTTTTTGTGAATAACTCTGAAATATAATAAAGAAGAGCAGCGATGTGCAAAAGTTTTAATAATTCTAAAATAAATTATAAAAAAATACTTTGAAATCGGAAAAGACGAGAAATTGATTAAAAGTGATTTTGAGAACTGATAATTTTAAAGTTATTTTTTAATAAATAATTTTAAAAATATTAAAACTTTTTCACATCACTGCCCTTCTTTATGATATTTTAGAGTTATTCACAAAAAACTAGCTTAATTTATTTAATATTTTAAGAGAAAAGTGGTCGAAAAAATTAACATTGAATTCTGTAACAATCACATGCTGTTAAACATAGTGATAAAATCATTATCAAATTCAATTATTATTTTCAAGAATTTTTAACTAAAATTTTTCTTAAAATCGATTATTTTTAATAATTTTCGAAGAAGTTCTTTGACAATTTTTAAATTCATTTCTTTACAATATTCAATTTTACGAAATTTAAATTCTTTGTAAATTCTTCAATTAAAAATATGTATTAGAAAATAAATACTAATACTTTTAATATTCAATTCTAATCTACAATTTTAACTGAAATGCATTTTTAAATCAATTTTTATGAGAAAATTCTACAAGAATTTCATTATTTAAATACAAAAAAAACAATTTCTTGAAAATTTATTGAATAATTACATATGTTTCTTAAAATTGAATTCTTTTAAAGAATTGTATCAATCAATTTTCAAATAATTTGAATTCTTTTGCAAAATTTTATTAAAATAGTAGATATTAAAAATAATAAAATTAGGGAAAATTTTTGAAAATAATTGCAATTTTGCCAAGAAATTTATTAAATTTTTTGAAAATAATTCAATTTTAGAGAAGAATTTTATTATTTATAAAGATAATTGATAATTTTCGCAAAGAATTGCATTAAAAGTTTTGAATGGAATAATTTTATTCTTTAAAGAAATTTAATTGAAAATTTATTAAAAATAATATTTAAATTCTAATAAATAAATTGTAGCAAATGTTATTAGAATAATTAAATTTCTTTGATAAATTTTAATACAATTTTTAAGAATAATTACATTTTTCGAGGAATTCGATTAAAATTGTATTAAAAATAATTGAAATTCTGCATTTAGCTTTATTATTTATAATTGAATTCCTAATAAGAATTTTATTATTTGACAAAAAAATTAAATAATTGTAAAAATTTTATTATTTATGAAAATAATTGAATATTGAATATTTATTGAAGAAATTTGTAAATAATGAAATTCCTGTAAAATTTTTATTATTTTTTGAAAATAATTCAAGGTTTGTGTAGAATTTTATTAGATTTTTTTTTAAATAATTGAATTATTTTAGAAAAATTTATTAGAATAGTATAGATACCTATTAAAAATCATTGAATTGATGAAAAATGTTGAAAATAATTAAAATTTTCCCAAGAATTTTATTAAATTTTTTGAAAATAATTGATATTTCGGAGAAGAATTTAATTATTTCTAAAGATAATTGAAATTTTGACGAGAATTTTTCAAAATTTTTGAACATAATTGAATTTTTGCGAAGAATTTTATTACTTTTTAAAATAATTGAATTCCTTCAATCATTTGTAATTTCTCTAAAATTATCCAAATTATATCGTATAATTTACGTACTTTACGGACCTTTTTTCAAAAAAACAGACTTTTACTAACTTCAAGCAAAGTTACGGACTTTTACGGGATTTACGGACTTAGTTCGAGCCCTGCATGTAATAAAGTACATGAATTGTTAAGGTTTAACATATTTTTTCAAATTATTTAATTAAAAATATTTGATATTAGAATTAAAATGTAAATTGTGTTATTAAATGCGGTTGTTGCTTAAAATCAATCGTATGACTATTACTCAACTGCTAAATACTAATTTAAATCGTTTTTTGAATACTATGATTTTAAAAAAACAAAGCTACACAAGCCCGAAATTAATTTTTAATCAAAAACTTACATGTGACTTATAAAATATCCATCTTTAAAAGATAAATTTTGATGAATTTAATTTCGGTTTAACAATGAGCAACATATCCATTCATTTTCAAGTGCTTGCTCTTCCTGACCTTCAACCTCGCTCCAATAAGGCATTCTATAACACTTGTCTTTGACGTTGTTTAAGGATACACATTCAACTATATTTGATAAAAACGAACAATGGTAAACCCCTACAACATCTGAAGTGACTCCAACATCGTATAATGAATTTTTTCTACGAAATGCTTCAAACATTAAGAAAAATTCTTCATCTACTTTTAAAATGTTTCTTATCATTCCTACTCTTGTGTCTTGAAGAATGCAGCAACTATCACGTTCGTTTGTGGCAAATGTGAGTTCTCCAATTTCCAACTTTTGAAATTGTTGACATCCATTGGCAGGAATGTTTTCAGGAATTGGGCCTTCTGCATGAGGCAATGATGGTCTTACGTGGATATTAATAACCGGAGCAGTTAAATTTAAATCGTTTAATTCTTTCGATCTTTTATAGTACTGTTCAAGTGGAAGACCTGGTTTTCGAATTAGCTTACGAAACTCAGGCATACTATTTTCGTACGCGAATGCACTGAACGACTCTAAATCCCCAAGATTTTCCACGTCAGAGACAAGATGAAGTAAACAATGTATATTATAGGATAAGAATTGTAATCCATAGATTTCTTCACACAATGTGACGTAAGTTTCCAATGCCTTCTGACAAAACGATAGCTTCTCAGGGGACGTTGCCTTAGAAACTAGTAGGCGTGAGACGACGTGAAGCAACAGGAAATGTTGATAAGGATCATCCTCGAAAACATTCTTGAATATAGATGGAGCAATATAAAGAGCTATTTGTCTAAATTCTGTTGCTTTAAAAGCAGAAAAAGCACTCATTTTTTGAGGTCTGCGGTTGAAGTCAGAAGGACAAAACATTGCAAGGTTCAACATTCTGGAATTAACAATTTCCATCTTCCTAACACTCATTCTTCGGAGTTTGAATTTTCCATATATATTCGCTGATATCGCTTTCTTTACATTTCCAAGCCAAAGGGAATGCATTGCTTCGAACGGTACTCGTGTTACTAAGTCTAATAATTCATGCAGAGGACTTCTTCCTACATGATGATCTTCGTCTATCATATTTCTGTATTCATCGTTGCTCCGTAATTGATGCGTTGTTCCTTCAAAAATTTCCCTGTCCATATAACGTCGACCTTCAACTTTGCATTTAGAACAAGGTTTGCTTGAATTATGTCCAGCATGACTCAAAGCAAACGCTCTAGCAGGGGCATCGGCAATGAAACAATGAATCGTCAAAAAAATTCTTCTGCCTTCAATAAGAATACCATTATTTCGCACTTCAGAAACTTCACGAACAAACTGTTCAAAAAATTCAAACACGTTAGATGGCTTATGATCACCAAGAAAAATTCCTGCTATCATAGGTCTTTTATCTTCAATATTCAGAACTCTGTACTGAATGGGCCAAAACTGCTTCGAACCTTTATTAACTTTAGCACCATCAGTACTAAAATCAATTATTATGCTATCTGGTAACATATTTGCAGGAATTTGTTTTAGTTTTTTCATTAGAGTCAATTTGAATCCAACGTGTAAATATTCTCCACCTGATATGTTCTGAATAACTCCATTAGCAATAGTTGTAGGAGTCCCTAAGATGGTTCTTGCATCTTGAGGAAGACAATTTAAATGAAAAGGGAATTCTCTTAAAGTTCTTAGAATTGTTTTAATTTGAGTATGTTTCAAATTAGTAACTAAAAAAGCATTCTTAAGAGCCTTTTTTTTAATCTCATCTATATGAATAGGGGGAGGAAGAGGTGGTTGATCTGCGTCATCGTTATCTTCGGAATTTGTTTCGAAGTCCAAATTTTCTTCCATTTGTTCTGCAGGTTCCAGCAAAAATGCCTCTTCTTCTTCTTCTCCTTCAGCAGCACTACTTCCTTCGCTAGATGAAATCATCTCTACATCGGACACTTCTATGTCATCAGAATCAGTATAATGAGTTTCGATGTCTTCGTGTGGAATATTCGCTTGGTCATGAAATGCTTCGTTTTCTGAAGACGAATTAGATTGATCTGCATTCTGCTGAGAGTCCAAATCATTTATACAGGATCGAGCCATGTTTAAACGCCTTCTCTTTTGACTCTGGCTTAGAGCCACAAATAGTTTGTGTTTCCCTTTGTCCATGGTCTCTATTATCCTGCAGTTATATGATTACAAAGTTATTTTTGTGAATAAAATAAGACAAAAAAAATTTTTTTGCAACACTAACCTGTAAAATTGAATTTTACACACAGAAAACTGTGTGTAAAGTACTTCTTTTTATAGCGGTGTGTAAAGTGTTACTTTACACACCGCTAGCAGTGTGTAAAGTGAATTCCAGTGTGTAAAGTGATTTTCAGTGCGTAAAAAGGTTACTTTACGCATTCTTGTGACTGTTTGATGAGAAACAATGAAATAATGCTTTTAATTAACAATTTACAATCACATTTTTTTATTTTAGCTTCTAGAATACTTCATTTAACAGTTCCCCACTACACCTAAAGTTACAGTAATATTAGCAATATTGCTGCAAGTATAGTTGTTTTAGTGTTGCAAAAAATTTTGTATGGCACTCGTGCGTAAATCAGATTATACTTGTGTGACTTGCAGCACTCGCCTTCGGCTCGAGCTGCAAACGTCACACTCATATAATCAACGATTTTACGCACTTGTATCATAAATAACTATTTTTAAATACTCAGACAATGATATAAACGAAAAATCAGTAAGGAAACTATAAAATAAAATTTAGGTGGTAGTTAAACACAATCGAACTTGACATGCACAATTTTTTCCACAAGACTAAACTTCGTCAAAAAAGAGAAAGATAAATAGAAGCCTCATAACATCCTTTTGATAGTAAGAGAAAAAACATTTTCAAAGAATATGAAAAAACAAAAAAAACGTTAAACTTTCTGAATTAAATTCAAAAGTCTTCCAGATGAGATCTACGATTTTAAATAAAACTCAACCCTAAAGCACTGCAAAAACTCAAAAATATTCTTAAAACTTTATTGTATATACATACACATTTTTTTGCATTTTTACATATTCATTGACGTTTTCTCATTAGGAAAACTTAATGTGCAGTATTTTCAGCGATTTTCAGCAGAAAAAAGATAATTATGTCGATTTTAAATGAATTTTAAAAAGGGCTTAACTTTGTAAAAATATTTCGATTTAGGGTGTTTCTACGTTCACGCTGTCAGTGGTTTGAAAATTACAAAAGTGGATGGTTGGTGAGTTAAATGGTGAATTTTTATTGGCTAAACTCTAAATTGATGTGCTCTCATTTGATCTTTATATATTTTAATTAGTCTAAATTTAAATCAATTTCAATTAGTGACCGAATTTTTGCTTTCGAAATAGTAAAATTCTACTAATTTATTAGTAAAATGTATTAATTCGAAAGCAAAATGTCAGTCACAAACAAAATAGAATGGCTAAAATAGTGATATCGTATCAGTAACAAATCCAACAATACAATATGGCTGTTTTAGCCAGAACTCACACAGTAATCAAGAATAATTTCTTTCAGTGTATGCAGCATGTAAAAACCAGAGTGGGACCTTGGAAATTTGTCAAGAAAATAATAATTTAGCACTATTTTATAAGGAAAATGATGATAAATTGTTATATTCTTGAAAAATTTCCAAGGTCCCACTCTGGTTTTTACATGGTGCATACGAAAAAAGGTAAGCTTTCGATTGGGATAGGTTAGAAAAAAATTTTTAAAATATATTTTGAGCTCGTGAAAAAACCTTTCAAAATCACTATTCACACTTGTAATTTGATTAATTTTACTTATCAATTTAATAAATCAAAAAAAATATATTTTCAAAAAAGTCAAAATTTTGAAACTCTGTAACTCAAAAAATATTTTATTAAATTCAATAATTTTTTATATCTACACTTCTACTAATAATAGTAACATTTTAGCAAAGTTTCAAAAAAATTCATTTTTTGACCTGGGCAGTTGAGAAATTTTGCCCCATATATCAAATTTCTAAAGGACAAATATTTAAACGTTTTCTTATGTAAAATAATACCTATTTCTCATGAAAAACAACTAGACTCAAAATAATTTTTTCAGAAAATTTTACAAGTATTATACTTTTCAAACTTTGATAAAACAATTTTCAAATAAAGTTTTATAAATTTGTTGTTAGAAACAATAATGGATTAAGGTTATATTAATAGGTGGATCCATGGAAACAAGAGTAATTGAAAATTTTGGCTGTTGACTAAATTTTTAAACTTTCAATATTGTTAGGATATATATGTAATAACATGCAGAGATTTTATTTAGTAAACTAAAACTTCTTTTTTGAACTTTTTGTTATTAGGGTATAACGCAATATATTTGATCAAATATAATGAAAAATAATAATAAAATAAATAATTATATAATAAAATAAAAATTTCAATTGAAAGCGAATCCCCTTTTAAACAGGTGACATTGTAAAGCTATTTTTAAATAATTATTTCTCGTATTTAATAAACAAAAATTAAATTACTATTAGTGATTTTTATAGGCTCCTGAAATTTACATCGATACTCAGAATCGAAATATAATTTTTCTTATCTTTATTGATAAAATTTTAACTAATTTAACTTCTTTTAATCCCCTAGAAAGTAAAAAAATTTTAAAGAACTTTTTTATCTTTAAACTGTAGGAAAATCACGTAATGTTTTTCGGTTTAGCGCAAAACATGTTTTTCGATGCTGAGCAACTTCAGGGACTTATTTTGATAAAAAATTTTCTGAACTTTACAAAATCAACATGAATTTTTAAAAACTAACAAAAATCATGTAAAAATTAAGTATAAAATTATTTTGAATCAGAAAAATATGTTTTTTTAAGTATGATGTTTGTATAAATTTATTAACCAAAATATAAAAAATTGTTTTTTATACGAAAACATAAATATTTAAAACCTTGAAGAGACATTTAAAAAAATTTTAATTTTTAAATTTCAAAATCATAAAATTTACAAGTTTTACGCACTTAAACCTCTGACATGCCTGTGAAATTAATTAATTTCTTAAATTCCCCTAAATTGTCCATTATAATTAATAATATTTTCACTAAATACAAATGGAATATTTAAGCTTTTATTTTAAAAAGAAGTATAAAAAACGGTAGTTTTATTATAAATAAGATAAAAAATTATTTAAAAACAACCTCACAGTAACAATTGTTGATGAGGAGTGTTGTTTTCAATTAAAATTAATTGCCTAGTATGTAATTTATTCTTAGATTGATAGATGGAAAAATAAACACATAAATACCGAAACAATAGCTTTTTTAAATACCAATTTTACTTAAAAAATATTTTATAAACAGAGCGATATTAAAAACATTTAAAAATTGTTAATATTATAAAATTTCCAAAGGGAAAGTGTCAACAACAAAAATGTTACAAATTATCAAAATAGGTTAAGTGTCAATGCGCAAAGAAAGTAATTAAAAATATTAAACAGTAAAATCATAAATCAGTATCAAATGTACTTACCGAAGTTTTAAAAAATTCTTATCTGTTTTTCCACAAATCAAGTAAAAATAATTGTGGATATAACCAAGAATAAAACTTCTGATGCAAACGATGCGAAAGATTAAAACACATGTAACTATGTAAGTATGTACAATGAAGCGCATTGGCCACCGCCGCCGCCGCTGTTGAGAGTCGATTTCGATGGATCGACTCGATATATCGATATTTTGCGATTCGAGATACCGGTTTTTTAAACTAAAAAAAACTCTAAACACTGTAATAATTAACGTTGTCAATTTTTACAAACTTTTACATTTATGCTAAATATTTTATACACTAGTTTTTATTATTAATATAATTTAATTAAAATATAAAAATTAAATTAGGAATTATTTTTAATAAAAGCTGAATTATTTATTGTATCTTATATTATTTACATATACACATAATTATGTGTATATGTAAATAATATAAGATACAATAAGTAATACACATTATTATGGGTATATGTAAATAATATAAGATACAATAAATAATTCAGCTTTCATTAAAAATAATTCCTAATTTAATTTTTATATTTTAATTAAATTATATTAATAATAAAAACTGGTGTATAAAATATTTAGCATAAATTTAAAAGTTTGTAAAAATTAGTTAACTAATAATTTATAATAAAAATAATATATACTGCTTATTTAATTATAAAATATTATTATTTTTATTTAATTATAAATATAAAAATTACATTATTTTTAATAATATAATTACGGTATTTATTGTATATAATATACTTACATATAGCTAATAATGTATTTATTTATAATTAAAAAGATATTGTTTATTTATTAAAAAGTTGGAAGCAATGAATTCTATCAAATTGCCCGACTAGATCGGGCACACGATCTGTATAATGAAGAAACGTATATTCCAGCAGATTGTAAGCCTGCTTGGTCCTCTAACATTCGGCTGGCAAAAGTGCTGCGTTATAGCAGGCACACGGTCCGGCGCCCGCTACGTGCCGGGCGTGCCAGACACAATTGTTATCTGGGGTAGTATAGTCAATTAGTACTAGAGAAAATTGTTATGGAAAGAAATGTCATTATATTTATTTATTTATATTCTATTTACTTATTGTTTTATCCTAGCATGTAAGAAAGGAAGTAATTGTTGAAAGTGTTTTTAAGTTTACATAAAAAGTTTATTTTTAAAACATATTAAAATTACAAGACTGCACGATTAATTTTTGGGCCAGCGATGTTAGTATTTCGGCGGTAATTTCTAGACTGACTAAAGCTTGAAGTACGTGTCCTCAGGTAATCGGTTTTCACCAACTTACATTTGGCAATGTCGCATTTTGAAATTATCATTTTGAAAAAATACAAACTTGGCAACGTAGCATACAAAAATGAGTTTTTGTAAGAGAAAAAAAGGGTCTAACAAACTATTGGACGGAGTGGTAGGTAATAAACGAAGTACAAATTGTAAAAAGCAATTAAGACTAATCCTCAATAGATCTCAACCTTCGCAATAAAAGGCCAGATGTAAAAATCCTGATCAGTCTGTTTCGGATTATAGTAATAAATGAATGGTTTGACAAAAATAATAAAATAGGTATACATTTATAATATTTATTTAGGTATCTTTAGAATTTAAGTTTTTAAGAAGGTATATTTTACCCTTGAAGTGAAAGTTATTTTACAATAAACATGAATTTAATAAACGTGAAGATTTTTATAAAACAAAAATATAATATTAATATTAATTTATTTTCTAAAAGATAACGACATAACATACCGGCCCCCTTGAACGACTTACGTTCGAAACGAATTATTAAATTTAATTACATTAATATATAATAATAATTTAACCTGATAAGCACATTAATTATAGTTCTTTTATCAAGTTTAATAAATTGTCTGTAGTAATAACACTAATCATTGTCCTTGATAATACACTTTATGATCTTTAATCAATTGGAAGAGGATACAAATTTCGCAACGCGCGTTTGTAAACTCCGGATGCACTTTTTATTGTTACTGTTCTCACAATCCCATCGTCTCCAGGATGAAGTTCGATAATACGCGCTAATTTCCATTTCATTGGCGGAAGGTCGTCATCCTTGACCATTACCATAGTACCTAATTTTATGTTGGTTTGATCAGTTTGCGATTGCCACTTACTACGAGACAACAGTTCATTGATATACTCCTTATGCCACCTGCTCCAAAAATGTTGCCTCATTTGTTGCGCTAATTCCCAGCAACTATGACGATTGGTTAGAATGTTGCGTAGATCATGTTGAGGTAAGCTCGTCAAAGAGTTTCCAATTGAAAAATGACCAGGTGTTAAAGGAAGTAAATCATTTGGATCTGAGGAAAGTGGAGTCAATGGTCTGGAATTAAGGATTGCTTCGATTTCAACGACATATGTATGAAGTTGCTCATAAGTTAATAACGAGTTTCCTGCAATACGTGTAAAATGTGATTTAAATGACTTTACCGCTGCTTCCCATAACCCACCGAAATGTGGAGCTCTCGGTGGAATAAAATGCCAGCTGATTCCTTTTTCAGAAAGATAAGCTTGTATATTGCTGTTTCTCGTAACTGAATCAATTTCTTTAAATAGTTCTTTTAATGTCGAGTTAGCACCAACAAAATTAGTTCCATTATCGGAATGAATTGACCTTGATAAACATCGACGTGAGAAAAAACGTTTAAGACAAGCGAGGAATGCTTCTGTACTCAAATCATTAGCTAATTCTAAATTAACAGCTCTGGTCGCAAGACATACGAAAACACAAACGTAGGTTTTAATTTTAGTTCTATTACTGTGGCGGTGCTCTTTTGTAAAAAAGGGACCGCAAAAATCAACTCCCACCTGAAGAAAAGGACGGGAAAATGAAGTTCTTTCTTTTGGCAAATTTCCCATAAGATATGTAATTTCACGTGGCTTTACACATTGTCGAATAATATTTCTAACCGTGCTACGACTATTTATCAGCCAATATTGTTAACGAATTCCATATAATGTACTTGTAATACCAGCATGCATTCGGTTTTTGTGCTCGTCTCTAATTATTAAATTAGTCACGTGATTATTTTTTGGTAAAATTGCCGGAAATTTTTGTGATTCAGGTATGTCTGCATGTACCAATCTTCCCCCCACCTTAATGATACCATTTTCTAAAAAAGGGTTTAGATTAAAAAGACAACTTGTTTTTGATACAAGTCGATTGTTACTTAAATCATGAAATTCACGAGGGAAAGAATTTAATTGAATCAATTTTAAAATCGTTTCAAGAGCAGAATCCTTTTCTTCTTGAGAAATTGATCCTGTCCATCTTGATTTTTTGTTTTTTATTTTGAGATTGGAAATAAACCGTTGACAATATGCAACAACATTTTTAAGCGTTTTCATATTGTCAAATTTTGTTAACAATGGAAGATCTGCTTGAGTGATTTTTAAAGATAAAATAGGTTTTATTTCGCGATTTTCAATTATAGTTTGCGATCGGAATTCATAATAAGGCCAAGTCTCTTTGTTCTCAGATAACCAAGAGGGACCTTGGACCCATAGAGAAGTTTTTGCAAAATCAGTAACATTTTGACCTCGAGAAATGAAGTCAGCTGGGTTGTTTAGCTACGAACATGTCGCCATGAAGAAATCTGAGTTTTGGATTGAATCTGTGAAACTTTATTGGCCACAAACGTTTTTAAAGTATGGGGAGGAGTTTGAATCCAGTTTAAAACAATGGTTGAATCCAACCATAAAATTGTTTTAGAAAATTCGAGTTTTAAAGCGCGAGCGGTGGTATCACATAGTTTAGATAATAAATCAGCACCACGAAGTTCTAGTCGAGGAAGAGTAGTGGTTTTAAGAGGAGCGACGCGAGATTTAGAGCAAATAAGTGATGAATAATGTTTATTTTCATCGTCAGTTCCGCGAAGATAGAGGCATGCTCCATATGCTTTTTCACTAGCATCACAAAACCCATGCAATTGCAATTCTTTTGATTTTTCAAGTGTAATACACCTGTTAAATTCAATACCTTGAAGTGATATTAATTGATTTTTATAATCTAACCACACCCTTTCTGCTTCTACAGGAATTGGATCGTCCCAATTTAATTGATATTTCCATAACTGTTGAATTAGAATTTTACCTACAACAACAACTGGGCCTAAAAACCTAAAGGATCAAACAGTTTTGAACATTCAGAAAGAATTAATCGTTTCGTTTCTGGTTTGTTAGAGTTTGACAAATTTACAGAATAAAAGATTGAATCTTTTTTATGATTCCAATCGAGTCCGAGTGCCTTGACAGTGTCTGATTGATCAAGAGACATAAACTCGTCATTGCAATTAGAAGAAAAATTTTCACACAATTCTGGACAATTAGAGACCCATTTTCGCAAATTAAACCCCCCTCTCGCGAGAAGTTGAATTAAATCATCTCGAAGTTGACGTGTCTTTTAAAAACTTTCACCTCCGGTCATTACATCATCGACATAGAAATCTTCTTTTACTACTTCTGCTGCGAGTGGAAATGATTCTTTTTCGTCATCAGCCAATTGATGTATCGAGAAAAAATCATTTTGAATCGTTGGACCTAATAATAAACAATCATTTAGAGAGACTCCGGTCGAACTTTTTGCAAAACCATCGGAAACAACTCTAGTTTTAGTGGTGAGACTCGTTTCCTTTTTTACTGCATGGTGAGAAAGATAGAAACCAGACTTTGAATCGTCCCGACCTTTAATTGGGGACATATGACCTTTGTCAATATAATCTTGCATACAATTAGAATATTGGATTTTAAGATCAGGATCTTTCAAAAACCTTCTTTCTAAAGCGTGAAAGCGTTGAGACGCGGTATTACGAGTATCTCCTAACGAATCTATTTTATCATTGAACGCGAGCCGAACAGCAAATCTACCTGTAGTATCCCTAGAAAAGTTTTCTTTATAATGACATTCTGCAGCCTTTTCTTTCTCGGACCGAGGCTTAACAATAGGTTCTTCTCCTAATTCCCATAAAATAGGTAGTTGTTCGTACTTAATTAAATTGCAAATGATTGAATTCGATCGAGGTGAAACACAACTACCAGCAAAGATCCAACCCAATTCGGTTTCTTGAAAGAGAGCTGACTGACCTTCGACGCGAATTTGACTTGCACATAACAGGTCATAGAAATATTCAGGACCTATCAATATATCAATTTCAGCTGGTTCATAGAATAAAGGATCGGCTAAAAAGATTTTATTAGGGACCTTTATCGAATTTCTGTTAATTGATAATGACGGCATTTTTCTGAGATTTCGTTAAAGATTAAAAAAGACATATCAAACTCACGATTTTCGTATCTTGATTTTATTTTTGTTGAAGTACTAAATTTAATCTCGGAGCGAAGATTTTCTACACCTTTCAATTTAATATCAGTCTTTCTTTTTGATAAGCCTAATAAATTTGCAAATCTTTCAGTTATCGAATTGCATTGAGAACAAGAATCTAACAATGCACGACAGGGTCGATATTTTCCTTTACTGTCTAATATATTGACCAATGCAGTACCTAAAACAATTTGGGACCGATTTTTCCCCTGATAACTAATTAATGAAGTGGTAGTGGTAGAAGGAGAAGATTCTTCCTTTGATTCCGATTGACTTGCATTTTCCCTTGTGAAATACAAGAGAATATTGTAAGGTTTTTGACAAAGATTTCGTCGATGTTCCTTGGTTTTATGATTTGCGAGAAAACAGTTGTGACATATTGACGCATTTTTTACAACCTTGTAACGTTCTTTTTCAGACAATTGTAGAAATTTATCACATTTTGAAAGAGAATGTGAATTTGATCACATCGGACAAAGAGCTTGTCCATTCGAGGATTTAGTTTCTACCGTGTTAGATAAACAAGTTTGATTATGCGAATTATTTGAACGCGAATTAATCCCCTTTTTTGTGGTTGAAAATGTTGTTTATTTTCGGATTTGTGAAATGACTGTGTAGCTTCTATAAGAACCCGACGTTCTAGAAATGAAATCATTTCAGCTAATGTGGGAAGTTTGGTACTTTTAATTGTCTCTTCCCATTTTTCCCGATTGTAATTATTTAATTTGTCACTAATAATATAAATGAGCACTAAATCCCAATGCTCGACAGGTACTTCTAGAGCTTTAAGTGCTCGGACATGTTTTTGAAAATTATATAACAATGTGCGAATGGAATATTCTTTCGAAATACTTTTCATTTTAAACAAAGCTTCAATGTGACATTCTACGATAAATCTCCGATTATAAAAACGTGTTTTTAATAATTCCCAAGCGATTTCGTAATTGTCGCTTGTGGTTTCGATAGAAGCGATCACTTCTGATGCATCGCCCTTTAAACAAGATTTTAAATAATGAAATTTATGTATAGTTGGTATTGTAGGATTATCATGACATAAGGATTTAAAAGTGTCATGAAAAGCTAACCATGTGTCAAATCCACCGTAAAAAGTGGGAGCTTCAAGTTTTGGGAGTTGGAATCCCGAATAAAAGAGATTTGAGGACGATGAATTCGAATTTATTTCATTGTTCCGTCCTGTTGTTCCAGATGGGGAGTCTGTCGATAAAGTTTCAGTTAAAGGAACTGTTTGAGGAGTATTTGATAGAACTTGATTGTTTCCTGTGAAAGTATTAATATATTTTTTAAATAATCCATGAATCGCGTGAAATCTTTCTTCAAAATAAGTTCTTTCACATTCAGGATTTTCAAAGTCTTCCTCGCTAGTTAAAACGCTATCTAGTTGAGTTTGAATCAAATCGAACTTGTCCCATAATTCTAGATGCTTTTTTAAACGAAAATCTAAATTAAGAGCAGAAAGATCAGATTGATCCTTAATAGAAGCAAAAAATTTTTCTGAAACCGTCAGCTGACGTTTTAAACTACCGCGTTGTAACTTTAAGCTTGCTTCGTCGACCATTTTGTCTAATTGTTATTATATTAATGTTATATTAAAATTTATACATTAATCATTGAAATCGTGGGATAAATTAAAGGATTAAGAAATTCAGGAAAGTTGGATCACTCCAGACTTACTCAATGTTGATTTCGATGATTCGCCTCGATAATATCCTTATTGCAACCAAAGAGCTCCGCCATTGATACCGGAAAAGAGCAGGTCTTCTGGATGTAGTAAAATTGTCGTTTCGTATAATTAGCGTTGACAATTTTTAAATTCAATATAAAAAGTTCAAAATTTGAGTCTAGAATACACTTAAAGCGAGTCTTGATTTAATTTAATGCTAGTTAGTCTTTTCTCATTTTATGACCAAATTGCTGTTAATTGATTTATCACTTTGATCTTATTGAAATTGTCGAATGTATTATAAAGGACCACATCCGAACTATCAAGATATACAGTTCAAAGTCTTGTGATTTATCAAAAATGCGTTAAAGGTCGGAAGAATAAAACTTCACTTGCACGAATATAACTGCCCTTCATTCAACTGTGTTTGATGATAAACGTCGTAGTAATTGATTGTGAGTTTTGTTCGAAGAATTAAACTTCACACTGAACAGTATCATTAATAATGATGTAAATTACTTCACGCGACACTATCGTAAATTGTTTCCTTCAATTCTGTAAAATTCCAAATTCTGGAAACAATTTCAGATGAACACTTGCTGTGAGATAAAGACAACTGCTTTTAAAATCAACACTTTATAGGATTGATTTAAAACAATCCGGCTCGAAGGACCATGTTTTATCCTAGCATGTAATAAAGGAAGTAATTGTTGAAGGTGTTTTTAAGTTTACATAAAAAGTTTATTTTTAAAACATATTAAAACTACAAGACACACTTATATTTTTTTATTTAGGACAGGGAAAAATCATACAACGATTTTTTCGAAAAATTCTAAATTTCGTCGAACTAAGAAAACT